TGTCCTCTTTTATTTTTAGATCAGGAGACTTACATTATCTTTTGTTAACTTTATTCCTAAGTATTTTTTTGTCTTTTTATTATTTTTTTAAAGTATGAACTTTCATTTAAAACTTTTGTTAATGTCTTTTTACTATTTTTATGTGATTTTTTTTCTCGAGTTTTATATTTGTAACTGTTTTCTTTAGGATGCAGTAGCTTTTACATTTAATCTTGTATCCTAAAGCCTGCCACACTTGTACAGTGGCTATGGTTATTTAATTATTTATATTTAAAATTTTAAATATGAAACAACCTTGCATCCCTGGGATAAATTCCCCTTAGTCTTGGAGTCTAATTCTTCTTTCATGCTCTTGGACTCAGGTGCTAATATTTTGTGAAGGAGCTTTGCTACAGTCAAGAGGGTTTTTAGTCTGGTTTTTCTGCACTGACTTCTTATGGCTTTGGTGTCACACTCATATTGACCTCACTGAATGATTTGGAAAATGTTACCTCCTCTCTCTGTTTTCTGAGATTGTGGAGAATTGTATTATTTCTGTTTCAAGTATTAGGTAGAATTCACCAAGGAATAATTTATCTAAATCTGGACTTTGTTGTTGAAAACACGTAGAGAATATATGCCTTTAATGATTACAAATTTCCCAGTGTCATCCCCTGCCTCCATCATTTTATTTTTTTAACTTCCCTCTTATTGTATATTGCCTTCCCTCGTTCATGTCTCTCCCCCCTCAATAAACATCAAAGAATGTTTCTCTGGTGAGAACACCTTTTCTTGACTTTGTGTGATCGTGATTTCATACATTAATTGCCTTTTTGTACTTGACTAATTTCATCAGCCTTGTTATGAGGTGTTTCACAGACACATCAGTCTTCAGCGTTGTGTAGTATTCCGTTGTGTGTCTGCACCCAAGTTTGTTTAGCCATTGTTCCACGGAGGGGCATTTGGGTTGTTTCCACTTTTGGGATATTGTGAGTATTGCTTTATTGTCCACATATATAAAGTATTTTGTGTGGACATAGGTTTTCATTTCTTGGGTAGATCTCTAGGAGTCGAAGTACTAGATCATAGAATAACTGGGTGCCTGGTTAGAAGTTTGAAGAATGGGCACAGTTAGCAATGCTTGAGAGT